ACCACGCGGGACGGGCGGAAAAATGGCCACGGACCACGTGGCACGGGCGGAAAAATGGCCGCGGACCACGCGGGACGGGCGGAAAAATGGCCACGGACCACGTGGCACGGGCAGAAAAACGGCCACAGACCACGCGGAACGGGTGGAAAAATGGCCGCGGACCACGTGGAATGGGCGGAAAATGGCCGCGGATCCGGTTCATAAGTTGAGGCGAGTTCATAAGTAGAGGTAAATTTTTGGGGCCGAAGCTGGTTGTATCTCGAAAAATTCGTAAGTAGGGGCATTCGTAAGTAGAGGTACCACTGTACTTTGTTTTACTTTCCCAGCTCTCTGCTTGCCTCCTTTTCCTGGCCTAGCATCAATCTTTGGTCTTTTAAATGTCTCAGGGCTCAGCTGGCAGTTTTAGTTCCCCCAGAAATGTGTTTTGTAGAGGGAGGCAGTTGCCTAATTTATCACCATATAGCTGAGCCAGCGCTTTATTTTCCCTGAGAAGATGTATTAAGATTAGGGGCTTTTAGCTTAACCCTCTTTCACGTTCTCTTCACTGCTATGAAAGTGATTATGAAATCTTACATACTGGTAGACTTGTTATTCCAGAAAATTATGATGCCTTGCTAGTTAAGGGCAGTTTTGCAATTCAATCCAATTATTTGTTTAGGTTCAACTAGGGTTTAAGTGCTCATGCTAATATCAGTCCCTTGGTAATAACAATCTGGCTACTAAGCTTCTTCTTAGCAATAGTCAGAATGAAGGTAGTCAAAATAGAATCACTCATGAAGAAGAGCAAGGTACTGGTATGCTTATAGGAGCCTGGGGGCTTGCAAAAATCAAATGTTTTGAAAATGTTAAGGAAGCAACCCTGCCCTCACAAAGGACCACATACTTTGCAATGCACAGATTCCTATAGGAGATGAGGAGAGGGAGAGAAAGGGACAATTGCAGAAGTGACCCAATTTGCATAACATATTAAGCCTAGCCTGACACTAATCATGGGTAAAGTACTTATGTATCAGTCCAATGCCAGGCACAGCGAAACAAAAACCAGCCATGGTTTGCCGCTGTTTTGATAGGTCCAGTCACCTTCAAGTGTCTGGATGTATATCATTTCCTTTAAAAATGCTTTAAAAATGTGAACATTTCATTCCCCCGTGCATATTTGGAGACCAAAAAAAAAAAAAGTAAGAGAAGAGTGATGTCATCTACCCACAGACATGGAAGCTTTCACAATGGGTGTGAAAGGAAAGCTGAATATCAATGGTTAGAGATGTCAGATATGACAACAACCCACAACTCTGTGACTTCAAGGTTCAAAAAGCAGGGCATAGTGTCCACTGAAACACGAAGGGCAGAAAGAAGCAATGGGTTTAAACTGCCATGGGTGTATAAGAGGTAACTACACCCTCATGATGACAGAGGATAATCCATTATACAGTGCTGATTGAATAGTTTATTCTAGCTTGCAATAAAGATATTTACTGACATTTCATGTATCTCAGAGATTTCTGAGGAGCCAAGTTAACCCATATAAAGTCAGAGGAATAAGATTTACTGTTGAGTGCAAGCCCAGGAAGCCTAACTTTGGGTCACTTTCTCAATCTAGCCTACCTCTCAAGGTTGCTATTTGGGTATAAAAGGAAGATCTTGATATTAGCTACCCTAAGCTCCTGGAAGAAAGGCAAGATAAAAATGTAAATATAAAAAAAAAAACCAAGATATTCTGGCTAGAGAGACCAGTATTGCAGCTCTATATCTTCTTGTCTCTGTGACCATCTAGGCTGGATACTATGTACAATTCACTTTACTGAGTTTGAAAAAGAACCTAAGAATTGGAAAAAGTGCAGAACAGGGCAACCAAAATGATCAAGAGGCTCAAAAACCTTCTGTATGAGGAAAGACTAGTCCAGTGTTTCTCCACCTCAACAACTTTAAGAAGTGTGGACTTCAACTCCCAGAATTCCCCAGCCAGCCTTGCTGGCTGGGGAGTTCTGGGAGTTGAAGTCCATACTTCTTAAAGTTGCGGAGGTGGAGAAATACTGGACTAGAATGTGAACTAGTGGTTACCTATAACACCTAGTTGACCATAGCCACGGATCCAAATAGCTCCAAGCTCAAAGTCACTCTCTCAGCCTGCTCTGGTATTGGATAAGCTTTAAGGGATGAAACAGAGGCTACAAAAAGTTGCTCAAGACATGCTCCTCTGCCGATCTTGAGTGCCTAATAGCATTCACATATAGACCTGGCAGAAAATCTAAGGTTTCTTTTAGTATAATTATTTATTTAATTAGATTTAGAATGCTGCCTGACTCCCAAATGAGACTGTGCAGCCTTCTAAATCTAATTAAATAAATAATTATATTAAAAAAAAAACTTAATATTGAATCTGTGCCGCTCACTTACTTAAAAAGAAAGTGAAAGCGATTAAAAAAGAAAAGAACGTGTGCCTGGACAAAAACACATAGTATATTATAAATAACTCGCCAGGAGCTCTCACCCCAGGCCTGGAAGCAAAGCCACATTTTCAAAGAGTTGCGGAACCCTTGTAGGGTGGGGGCCATACACATCTCAGCAGGGGAGAAGCTGTTCCAGAGGTCAGCTACTGTGACTGAGAAGGCACACTTCCAGTGTCCCATTAGATGATACTGCATGACAGAAGGGACCTGGATGGGCAGAAACTATTGGACACAGGTGGTCCTTCAAAGAATGTAGGGCTTTATGGGTGACAACCAGCATTCTGAATTGCACCTGGAAGCAAACTGGCAACCAATGCAGCTCACAGAGCATTGATGACACATGGGCATATTGAAGTGTGCCCATTACTACCCATGCTGCTGCGTTTTGGACCAGCTGTAGCTTCCAGGTGATCTTCAAGGGCAGCCCCATGTAGGATGCATTGCAATAGTCCAATAATGAGTGAGCATATGAAGGGCCTCCCATTCTAGGAATGGGTGCAACTGGTGCAGAAGATGGACCTGTGCAAAGGCGCTCCTGGCCACAACTGCCACCTGTTCTTTGAACAGTAGTTGTGAGTCCAGGAGGACCATCAAGTTGCACACTAGTGTTAAATAGGGAAGTATTACCCAATCAAAGACCAAGGGTGAAAAAAAAATCCAGATTCAGGGAGCCCGAACAGCCATAGTCACTCAGTCTTGGCAGGAATGAGTTTGTTCCTCCCTATCCAGACCTGAACAGCATCCAGATGTTGGCTCAGGGCATTGACAGCATCACTTGGGCAGCCTGGGGTCAAGATGTACAACTGAGTATTATCCGGGTACTGATTCCAGACCCCGAACCAATGGATGACTTCACCCAACAGTTTCATATAGATGTTAAGCAGGAGGGCGATAGCATTAAGCCTTGAGGTACCCTGCAATTATTGCATTTAGTTATTGTGTGGTTCTGTTTAAATTATGAAGTGCCTAGGCTATAGACCATTATGCATTTGGGTGTTATATAAACACCTAAATCAATAAAGTTGGGGTCTCTTTACATGGAAAACAACCTGCTTGCTCAGAACATCACACTTTAGCACCATCAAGACTGGAAGAGAAGCAACAAAACAAAAAACAGGATGGGAAGAGCCGATCAAGAAAGAGAGGATATGAGGAACCCAAAATACAGAAGGAGAAAGAGAAGAAATGAGAGAACTAGGAGGAGATCAGAAGAAATAAATGGATTGGGAGTTAAAGCAATGAAAGATACAGAAGGACCTGAGGGACAAGAGGCTGTGGATTGCACTCTTTCTTATCTGTTTTTTCTCTGGCCTGCACGTTGTAAACCAAAAGCACGCACCTTCTTTCAGGTCACACTTCATTTCTGCACTGAGTGAGGCCACAATGGGAAGTTACATGTAGTCCTGGGGCTATACATTATCTATTTGACCACAGTTGTGCAAAGAAAAAGCCTTCATTGAAGGCTTCCTACAGCCTATCCAGAGGTGCAGCTAACCTTCAACCTCTTTGCAATCATCTAAGCTCCAGAAATATCTCTTGGAGGCAGAAGAAATCCACCTTTCCCTTCTATTTGGCTTATGCCCATGCTTCAACTAAGTCTTTTCTGGTTCACTTTGCTCTGTTCTCCTGCCCTCTTCCTCCTTTGAAATCCCAACTAGCCTCTCCACATCAAGACTTGAGAAGTGGCTGGAAATAATTTTGTCTGCCTCTGTTCTTCACAGTTTCTACTTCAGTTCCTTTGAACCTTATACAAATATTGATTAAGTTGCAATCTTCACCACCATGATACATTCCAGATGCACTGGGTCTACAACTTCCAGAATTACCATCCAATATGGTTAATGACTGAGAATTCCATGAATTGTAGTTCTAATGCATTTGGAGGGCACCAGATTGAAAAAGGCTGAATTGTAATATTCTGAAGGCTGTTTGTCTCAACCCTGGACAGAAGCAGCAACTGTTCTGGTCTTACTTACCCATTTTTACATTTGTTAAACTTTTCCTGATTTTATAAATGTAAGAAGAAAATTCTACAGACATTTTCTTGAATATCTCTGCAGATGAGAACCACTCTCAAAATTATGACAGGACAGATCACATAATTTTTCAAACCTTACCTTTGCTCCATGATCAAATACTTCCTGCCAGACTATGGATTTCTTCTTAACAGAAGCCACTATGTCCAGAATTCTAAGGTGTAAAACAGAACATTCATGTATTTGTTACCTATTCAATTGTATGTTCCCCTCTCAAACATACAATTTCATCTAAGAACAGACCACCCAGCAACTTACATTAACTTGATATAACAAAAGAGTTAATACTGCCTCCAAAGTTGCTTCTGAACTTTCCAAATATTTATGGAAACTTATCTTGAGGTAAAAAACCCCAAAACTTACTTTACCCAACCTTGGTGGGATTTAGATTATGAGCCAAAAGAAAGTGAAGCACATTCTGGCATATTTGCAAATACACCTGACTGTTCCACTCCACACTATCCCTGTGTGGTTGTTTTAAGGTTGCCGTGTCCTTCTGAATATGACAGTGGCTTTTTCTAGTTTAAGTTTGTTTATTGTTTATTTTATCTTATTGATAAAAGATTGTTAAGTGCTAAAAAGCACTGCTTTTCTGCTGTAAATTTTGAATGAAATTGACATGATCATTCACATTTTAAGAAATGTATCGCCTTTTCATCACAGCATGTGGCAACAGCTAGCCAATCCTGGCTGCTTTTCATAAAGCTAAATCGTGTTTGAACTATTACTTGGAAGGGAGTTACTTGGATGACAGACCTTCAGTAAATCCCAGGTCTGGGAATTTGAAAAAATAATCCAGAAGAAGGCAATGGCAAGAAGGCTGCTTCTCTATCATTATCAAGAAAACAACATGAGTGTAGCAGCCAGTAGGAGCTGAGTTTGACTTGAGGGAATTTTTGCTACTTAACATGTTTTAAGTATGTGCATCTCTTTATGTTTCACCCTCACAGCAAAAAGAACACAGCTGAGTTGAAAGTGGTGACCCCTCCCTGCTCCATCATTTTGAAGCAGCCAATGTTCCTTTCCTCTCTCCTTTTTTTCCTGAACTTTCAAACCTGCTACCTGAAAGCCTCAATAACGTCTCCTTTTAAATTACATACTCCCAGTACAAATGCACTAGAATACTTTATACTTTCAATGGTTACTTTAACTAATCCATCATTTCCTTATTCTAGATGTAATTTTAATCATTATGTTTTTAAGTGCCTGCAGTGCAAGATGGGATAACTGCAACTAAGCTTACTTGTGAGTAAACTTTCCTTTAAGTTATACTGCTTGGAAATTCATTTTTGCAGATACCTAGTCAGTCTTGTAATCTCTCCTAGATAGTTTCATGGTTATGATAGAAAATTTTCCTGTTTTAACTGCTTGGAAATTCATTTTTGCAGATACCTAGTCAGTCTTGTAATCTCTCCTAGATAGTTTCATGGTTATGATAGAAAATTTTCCTGTTTTATTTTCCCTCTCAAATCATATGCAACTTTCATTGTTTTTACTTCCAGAGAAGGGCATGAAGTCTGATATGAACTGGGTCAATTGTGCATAGGTTGGGGTGAGTATAACCTTTTCTTCCCATCCACTTTCATTCAGGAATCACTTAATTCACAAGGAGGATGTATGTTGTTGATTTAGTCTCCTATTTCAACAGAAAACCTCAGCACTCTGTTCCCAAGAAAGAGGAAAAAGCTATCTCAACAGAATACAGTGGTACCTCTACTTATGAAC